TGGCCTGTCCAGCTTTTCTCGCTTTAATTAGTTACTACTGTAAATTAGTTACATACATCCTTAACTAAGGGGCTTTGGGAACTCATCTTTCATCTGCCATATTTACTGTTCCCAGGCATCTGACCTGACTCATAAGTCACCCGTAAGGTTGGTGCTTTAGAAAGTCACAGAAATGTTTGATCTTTTGATTTTCCTCTCGTAAATGTTCTATTCCAACCTGGCACATGGGCCCTGGATTTTCTCTGGTTTGCCAACCTGGAAGGTAATCAGAAGCATTTGGCCGGTGTATCTCACTTGTTTCTATCACTTGCCAAAGACACATCTGTGTGTCTCCATTTCTCCATGTATCCATAAAATCGGCATTCTTTTCTGGAATGAGGCTATTCACGATGGACCTAGCCACCAATAAGGAACGTTTTATGGGGGGCCTCCTTTGTGTGCTGAATATCCACAGGTCCTACTATCTTCCTGACAATCCTGATCTGTCCCTGCAAAGTTTTCTGCTGGGGATTGGGGGTCTTCTGTCTCACCCACAGGTATACAGTAAGGCGGGGAGAAGAAGAGGCAGCCTTCCCTATTCATATTCTTGTCTGGAAGGAATGGGTTTGCTCGGAGTCTCACCAGCCAGTGAGGCTTGTTTGATAAGATACCTTGGTCAGTGGAGAGGGAACATTTGGAGGAGAAAACGGCAAAAAAAAAAAAAAAAAAAAAAGACTTAACACTCACTTGCTGTTGAAACCTAAATGGGTAAATGCTGGGGTATGACCAGCACTGTGATGACAGGTCCCGAAGAAGTAGGAATGAATCCAACTGAGACCACGTGCTTGGACTAGGGGTCAAGTCCTTCTGGCCCACCCAGAGTAGGGGGTGGTGCACGGAGGTGCCTTGCACTTTGACAGGTACGGTGCACTGTTTATGGTGTCCTAACACTCGTCCAGGGGGAAGGGAAATTGTTCTTTGCCAAGATGTGCTCCCGGCTGGGTTGCTTATAATCAAAAAGTGTTATATTTGGGTCCAAAGTGAGGGCAGAGGCTCTGGGATTACCCCCAAATCTATATAAAGTTGTCATAAATTTGCATTTCATAAGAAAATGAGAAATATAAAATTATTTCTGAATGGCTGATCTATTCCTCATCATTGGGGAAAAAAGAGAACAAAAGCATTAAAACTTTCTGTAAGCATTCAAACTTCCTCGCTCACCTTGCTATTTTATGCCACCATTTACGATTTATATGAATTGCATGCATTCTTCTGAGTGTATGGGAAGCCAGGCAAATGTCCAGGATCTCCAAGTGCTCAGAGTAAACAAAGTCAACCTTTTTTTTTTTTTTTTTTGTGACATGTGGCTGTTCTCCAACACTGATAAGATCATGGCCAAAGGCATGCATTGCTGACTCTTCCAAGATTATCAACAGAGTAGGTCTTCTTGATGTTTTAATTGTATATGATTTCTTGTCAGCGGTATAAAGAAGGTTACAAAATCCTTCACTCCATGTCCCAGTCTCAGAAAGACCTTGGCACCATCAACAGACCCAGCTTCTGACAGCGGTAGTGCACACATGCATCTCCAGGACGCCCAGTGGGCAAATGGCTGGTTGAGTTAAAGTTAGGGGCACTATGTCCGATTCATATATTGTAAATGGAATTAGCTTTGTTCAAATTTTTTCATTTGGTGAGCACAAAGTGCCTGGAAGGCATGAATAAATAAATGACTCTTCTAGTTCCTAGAGAAGACCTTGCTTTAGAACCCCATGGACAATGGATATCTCCACTGCCTCTAAAGATGTGCTTAAAACACTGTCTATAACTATACATCCTAACTGTGTAAAATTAGCCCATGTTCTTAGCCTATCGGGGTCCAGTTTATAAAATGGGGGCAATAAGGACTTATGTGATCCATGACTGGCCGACTGTATAAGACCTAGGACTCAGGTAGGATGTCTGGCAAGTCAGAAAAGCCCAGAGCCTGCCTGGGCTCCATGCATCTGACCCGCATTCACCGTCCAGGCAGCCAGGGCTATCTATTCCAGGTGAATGGAAGTCATCAGTAAATCCCGTAGCCTCAAAGATGTGTAGCAGATGCATCAGGATGTTAACAAAATGGGAAACCAAAGCAAGAAGATGCCAGAGAGACCAGTGGGTCAGGGAATGCACTTGGCCTCATAAAATGGCTACAGAGGAGGCTGAGTGGTCCAGCCCAGAAGACCTGCTGGTACAGACTCATCAGCAATGCCATCCACATGATGTAGAACATTTAAAATCGTACAGGTGGGACCCCCAAAGTTCAAGAGCCCTGGCTTGCTCACTAATGGCTTTGCTTGCCTCACCCTCCCGACTTTCCTCCTGGTCTCTGTCCTGGACCCACTCCCCCTCAGTATCCTCTGAGTGCCTGGGTACTCAGGGCTCAGTTCTCCATCCACTTCTCTTCTCTAGCCACGCCTCCTCCCCAGGTGACATCACCTCCAGTCCCCCAGCGGTACGTTCCATCAGTACCTCGGTGACATCGAAATAGATGTCCCCAGCTCCTGCCTCCCCCTGGACTCCAAACTGGTATATCCAATGTCATTTCACTTAAAGGAAGAATTTAAAAGATAAGCAACAAACCAAGCACCAGAACAACCGGAAAGCCTACCAGATGGAGCAAAGAGCTCACGGGTCATCCATCTGTCTGAATTATGTAGCTGTACAGTTCATAACCTGAGTGCTCAAGGAAACACCTGCATAATTGTTAAGTTCATGTACACTTGCCATTCATCTGTGCTCAACAATTGCATGTATGTAGTCCTCCAGTTTGGAACAGGCTTTTTGGTAGATTAATATTCCTGATCTTGGGACAATAGTTCTTTGCAGAAGTATGACTTGGCCACAGGAACCTCTAGCTTTCCTCCAGATTCTCCCTTCCTTTTCCTTGCCATTGACACCAGCTTGGTTCAGGCTCTCAAGGCTTACACAACTTCATTCCCAACACAGTGATTTCCCGGCTCCCCGCCCACTCCTGCCTCAGTCACACCGACACACTGCAGCTACACTGACCTTCCTGAAAACCAGCCTCTATCACAACTATTCGGAAAGCTCGGTGGTTCCCTTCTGCCTATGGAGCTTAACAGATTTATAGACCATTGGGTGGGGTAGGATCTCATTGGTGAACCTTGACCAGTGATTGCCGGGCTTGCTGAGGAATGCCTGTATCAGAATCACCTGCAGGTGCCTGTTACCAGTACAGAAAAGCAGGCCCTTCCAGAGCAACCTAACACAAGTCACCAGGGCTGGGTTCCTTGGCTTCATAGTTGTCCCAAGTGCTGAATGTCTTGGGCACCACCCTACTCTAAGCCCCATCTGCTGTCTGAGCCTTCAGTGAAGGTGAACTGGCTACTTGATAAGAAACCAACTTCATATTTGAGCATCTCTGATCATGTACCAGGAGCCACCCAGGCCAAGGCCGTTCCTTTCTACACCATAGTGATTCTTGCTACTGACACACCTAGCCTGTCTCCAAGACCCTTCTCTAATTGAGCTTCTCCCCCTGCCGCCATCCCCCTTCCTGCCATGACCTGATGCCCTTTCACTAGGATTTATCTGGATCTGTCTTAGCACGTGGCTTTCCGGGACAGTCCCAGAGGTCCAGTGTGGTCCGATGGCCCAGGGGGGAAGAGGGTTCCCTCCTCTTTCTTGCCATAACCTCTAAGGAGAGTGTGGACTAAGATCGCAGGAGCTAGCTCACTTTACCAGCTGACCTCGTGTGTCAAGTTTTTATAACCTCTTTAGAGGTAAGGCAAAAATTCAGTTTGTATGTCATGAAGCACTGCACAGACTTTGGAATCAGAATGACTGCTTTCAAGCCCCACCTTTGCCACTTACTACTGAGTGTCCCTCAGTAGTGGATAAGTTGTTTAAACACTTGGCACCTCATTTCTATGTCTATAAAATGGAAATAATAATTATATCAACCTTACCTGGTCGTGGAGCAGATTATATGTACCGGTACATACACATATATGAAATGTATCTATACCTATCACTTAGAACAGTGCCCGGCATATAATAGTCACTAACAAAGGATTACTATTATTATTCTACCAAAAAGCTTATAGTGAGAACATCAACTCTCATTAAAAGCAGAAATATCATTTTGTTAAGTGCAATTTTGGTGAGCACTTATTCTCTCTTCTTTTTAAAGCCTAAAAATAATAAAGCTCCTCTCTGGAAAGAGAATCAGGTCCTGTTTTTTGCCATGTAAGTGGTAAAGCTATGCTGCATTTCAAAAATCTCAGAATGGCTCCTGCTTCTCTAGGAAAGAAATCTATATACGTTTCGTAATTTAGAAGCAATTCAACATTTCTACTTTGAACATTCATCCATGCACTTGCAATCAGGAAATTAATGGATCCCTACCCAGACATTAAAAAACAAAACTATTTTAGTGTTCGCAGCAGACTGCGGTGGACAGATTTTTAAGCCCAGACCCAAACATCAAGAGACAGAAGCTGGGAAGCAGAAATCACTTCAGATGCAGACTGCACTTTCAAAAAGCCCTGAGCAGTGTCAGGATCTGTGTCAAAGACGGACTGGCCACGCCACACGTGGGGCAAATTCACAGGAGCCTTCAATAACATTCCAAACGCTTGGCAAGAAACAATATTCCCATTTTAATTGAAACGGAGTGAAAGGGTGAATGCAAATCCAAGGATATACCAAGAGCCAAAATGAGAATAGGAATGGGTTCATTTCCAACTTCAAGTTTTGATCTTGAAAGAGATTCACCTGGACGCTACTACAAATTATCTACATGATCCAAATGACCTGGAAGTGTCCTCATTCTCCAGTATCCAATCCCGATTTACCATGAGTCAGGCACGTCAAACTTGCTATCGCTACACATGTGAAAATACAGTATTCAAAAGAAGATTATTCTCTTTTATAACTTGAGACCCACTCTCCAAATCCTCCCTGCTCTGAGAACTCTGAGGAAATTGGAAACTTGAAATCTTGATTCTCCTTACCTGATATCGGGTCAACAGTAAAGGCTTCATGAGATTGAATCAAAGTGATATGAAATTCGAAATCTATAGGACAGCTGCACTGTAAAGGGATAACGTATTTTTTGCTGCAAAAAAAAAAAAAAAAAAAGGAAAAAATTTTCTTGTTAACTAGTTCTTTTGATATCAAGGAACAGAGACTCAAGTTACATAATAAAGAACCACAAAAGGGGTGCCTGGGTGGCTCAGTTGGTTAAGCATCTGACTTCGGCTCAGATCATGATCTCATGGTCTGTGAGTTCGAGCCCCACAAAGGGCTCAGTGCTGACAGCTCAGAGCCTGGAGCCTGCTTCCGTTTCTGTGTCTCCCTCTCCCTCTGCCCCTCCTCCACTCATGTTCTGTCTCTGTCTCTTGTCTCTCTCTCTCAAAAATAAACATTAAAATTTTTTTAAAAGAGCCACAACAGTGACCATAGTCAGCGTGGTTGTAGTAATTCCTGGGTGCCAGCTACTGTACACATTTCCCAGACGCTAACTCTTCTGATCACATGAGGTGGTACTGTGATCATCCCCACCCACAGACAAGGCTCAGAGAGCACAAGTGTCCTGTCCGAGGTGACATGGCTAGTTAGCGGCAGAACCGAGATTCAAGGCAGGTCAACTGTGCCCAGTTTCCACACTCCAAATACCTCTGTCCTCGCTGCCTCTCTAGTACCCGTGGGTTCATCCTGTGGACACTCAGTCACAGGGAAAGGGCTTCTCTGCCACACAAGGGGCCCCAGGGAACCTAGGCAACACTGAATGGGCAGACCTTACACAAAGAACCCTGGGAAGCTCCCGGCCTTTGCAGAGCTTCGACCTAGACCGTGTTGAAGAAGCCACACTTCCGGCTGTGTGTGAAGGAAACACGCCAGAGACTGTTGGGTAAGAAGGGCAAACAAGCAGTAGAGGCACCTGGAGAGGGTGAGTGAATTCGGTAATGCTCCCTCAGCCAAGACCAGCCCAGCTGCTGACTGGGCCTGAGGTTGTCCCTTAGGGGACTACAGGAGTCGCTCCGGCTGTGCCATCGCTGAGAGCCCAAGTTTCTCCTCATGTCCTCTTCTCTGTCAGGTGGGCCAGTTTGGGAGATGAGCGAGGCACGGAGCAACCAAGTTCTCTACTGGTCCCCGGGCATCCTATGGATGCAGAGCTGGGCCGGGTTATCAGGGCCCCTTTCAGCAGCTGGACCTTGAACCCTTCCACTAAGAGACTCAGCCCTGCCCTCTATCCCCAGCCTTTCTTTCTGCCTCCTCCCTTCTCTACCTGGTAACTCCCAGGCCCTCTCAGGCCATCTTGCCCTCCTACTCAGTGGTTGGTCCTTACTTCTTAAGCTTTCGACGAGTGCCTTCCTGCCACCCCACTTCTCCCTCACGTCTCCCAGTCCTGGGAGAATATGACTGTAGTCGGGGTACGCGCCGGCCAGGCCAGCTAGTGTGCTGCCTTCTGGGCGATGCCCACCCCAGAAAGGTCTTTCTCATCAGGACCCACTTCCTTACCTGCCCAGCGCCAGTCTACCTGGGAGACTCTAGGTCCTATGAAGGGCAGAACTGAGTCTATGTGCTTCTCCAGCACAACCTCAACTAATTCCAGGCTCCTGCACAGGCCGAACACCCAACAAACACTTGTTGGAGCCAAGTACAATAACTCTTTTTCAGTAATTCTGGGAATACAGTATAGTTCAAATGTGGTCTTAAAAACTATGCCACGATGGGCACCTGGGCAGCTCAGTTGGTTAGGCAGACAACTCTTGATTTTAGCCCAGGTCATGATCTCATGGTTCGGGGGTTCGAGCCCCATGTCAGGCTCTACACTGACAGTGTAGAGCCTGCTTGGGATTCTGTCTGCCTCTCTTTCTGCCCCTCCCCCCCCCCGCCCCTTGCTCTCTCTCAAAATAAATAAAAATAAACTTTAAAAAAATTATGCCACGAATGTTTTTACTTGGGTTTAAGTTCATTACCTTTTAAAATTTCTGGAATATCTCAAATGTAAAGAAAAATATAGAGGATAATATAATAGAGGTCCCTCGGGGTGTCTGAGTGGCTCAGTCGATGAAATGACCGACTTCGACTCAAGTCATGATCTCGTGGTCCGTGGGTTCGAGCCCCACATCGGGCTCTGTGCTGACAGCTCAAGAGCCTGGAGCCTACTTCAGATTCTGTGTTTCCCTCTCTGCCTGCCCCTCCCCTGCTCATTCCCTCTCTCTCTCTCTCTAAAAAATAAATAAACATTAAAAAAATAGAGGTCCCTTTATCCACTGTCAAGCTCTCAAATCTTCTGCTTTGGGTAAATCAGTGTTTTATTTTTAAAGAAATGAAACACTGCAGAACACTAGAAGCCCCCTGCACACCTCTCCCCTCTCCTCTACTTCATTTTTCTCCAGGGGTGATCCCTACCTCGTTTCCACTGTCTACCATCCTCACGCATTTTTATAACATGGCCACGTGGGTACGTACTCACAAAATATATAATACTGCATTACTTGTTTTCAACAATGTCATTCCAAAACTTTGCTAATGTTCAATACCATCAAAATCTATCCATGACCCACACTTTTTAACCATGATACATGAGGTCCTGTTCATTCATTTCACTAGTGATGACTATTCTAGTGCATTACTATGTCACCCCTGTTTACTCTCTTTACACCCTTATAACTCTCTTGCTAAAGGGCACTTAGGTTGTTGGCACACTTTCCACTATGGGAACGCGGTGGTGACAATCCTTGTGTGCGACTCACGCATCTGTACCAGAGCTACTCCAGGTACGATGGACAGGTGGAATTGCTGGTTAGTAGCAAAGAAAAATTAGCAGCTTTACTGGAGACAGTCACCATGCTCTCCCAAGCCCTTTTACTGATATCTACCTCCACGAGCAGCCTAGGAAAGTTCCTCTCACTTACCAAGACAGGATTTTCAGGCATTTTAACTCCTCCCGGCCCAATGGGGGTGAAGCAGTATCTCATTTTATTTTCACGTTCATTTCTTTGAGGCTGATCTTCTATTTATATGCAGCCATTTGGGTTTCCTCGCCTAGGGACTATCTGCACGGACCCTTTGCCTATTTTCCTATGAAGTCATTCTGTTCTCTTGTTAATCTGTAACTCCTAGATATTAATTTTGTTGATTATATCTAGTGATATAAATTCAAGACCAGGATCATTATACAGAGTAATCTCTTCAGCCAGCAGTGAGATGAACCCTTCATTGGTTCTCTACCAGACTCATAAATTCTGACCTCGGTCAGGCTCTTGAGAAGCACCCAGTCCATCTTACCTCTCTGAGGTGCTTCCTAATTCTGAAACACAGGGCACATACGGGTCATTACATTTTCAAGGCAATTTGCCCTGAATAGACACTTGGGCCCCACTGAGCATCAGGTGACCCACAGCATTGGGGAGAGAAAAACAACAGCACAAGTTACATATGCCCCTTAAGAAGTGGGCAGCCTTGGGGCGCCTGGGTGGCTCAATTGGTTGAGCATCCGACTCTTGATTTCGGCTCAAGTCATGATCTCACAGTTCGTGGGATGGAGCCCCACATCGCGCTCTGCACTGACAGTGCAGAGCCTGCTTGGGATTCTGTCTCTCTCTCTCTCTCTCTCTGCCTCTCCCCTGGTCATGCTCTTTCTCAAAATAAATAAATAAATAAATAAACATTAAAAAAAAAAGAGTGAGTAGCCTTGGGTGATGGTCAATGTGAAGTCTAAATTGCTCAGACATGGTCTATGAAGACCAGGCCAGTGATTCCCACAGCCACATGAGCTGGATGGGGCTCCGGGCGTCAACCCCGTCACCTACACAGAGCTGCCCAGTGAGGTAAAGCAGGCTGCTCGAGAGTCTTCTGCTAAAAGCTGCCTGTTTGCATTTTCTGAACTAAACACACACACACACACACACACACACACACACACACACACAGACTGGCGGGGCTTTTATACATGCCCAATTTAAAGTTAATTTTAGAGCTCTGATAATTCCCATAGAAAAGGTGTATGGGTATTTGTTCAGTGATGATTACACGAAGCCAAGTTCCTGATGCATTAACCAGCCTGGAAAAACAAACAATTCCTTAAGGGCACAGAATTCCAAGTGCCCTGGTTCTGAAGGGGACATCGCAGTGCAAGCAATACATAATCCGCATTTGTTCTTACTGCAGCTCATCCCGTGGATGTTGAATTCACATGGATGGCCACCAGAGTGGCACCATAAGTCAAGGACAGTCTGGATGAATTTGGGTCACAAAGAATTTTGCCACACATAAAGTTTAGTTTATTTGGAAATTTTTCACATTCGAAAACCACAGAAGCCCATTAGATTCTAAGGGGACTTAGAAATTCTACACTAAATTCCTACACTAAATACCATTAAAACCATAAATCAGACTCTTAACTATAGAGAAACAAACTGAGGGTTGCTGGAGGGGAGGTGAGTGAGGGGGAGGATGGGTTAAATGGGTGATGGGGATTAAGGAGGCTCTTGTGATGAGCACGGGGTTTTGTCTGTAAGTGATGTACCTCTAAATGCGACTCCTGAAACTAATATTACACTGTATGCTAACTAACTGGAATTTAAACGAAAACTTGAAATAAACAAAAACAGAAAACTGATCTACACTAAAGAAACATGAATAAATATACGTATCTAAAAATTTTTTAATGTTTATTTTTGAGAGAGAGAGACAAACAGAGCATGAGAGGGAGAGGGGCAGAGAGAGAGGGAGACACAGAATCTGAAGCAGGTTCCAGGCTCTGGGCTGTCCGCACAGAGCCCGATGCAGGGCTTGAACCCTAGAACTATGAAATCATGACCTGAGCCAAAGTCAGATGCTTAACCAACTGAGCCCCCTAGGTCCCCCTACATATCTTATGCCTGTGGTGCCTGTGGTTCCTCACGCACAAAGAGGATCCTGAATTCTCCTGTAACTTCTAGGAAGGGGCCGGTTAAAATATCAAAGCAGATAGCAGTTAGTACTTTTGAAGTTAACCACAACTTTTATCCCTGTTACTTTGTTATTTAAACATTTTATCAGTTATGCTAAGTCTCTGTATAAATATATATTAAGTTCTTTAAAAGGGTATATAAAAATGTCAAG